GTCATATGTCAGTACATGTAGCAAACAATAGGAAGTCCTGAGGAACATGTCTTGGACTAAAAACAAACACAAAAAAACAGAAAAAACCATCAACCAAACAGTTTAAAGACTTGTATTGTCTGTTGTGTTGGGGAGTGTATGGGACTCATGACCTCAGTAAATGTAAAATCTTGGCTACTGCCCTGCTGCCTTTATTGCTAAAACATAGAAGAGTCTTAATAGTCTAAAAATAGTGAATTTGTAAACATTTAGTTACTTGGTCTGATGTCTTTGTGACATTCCCTGTGTCACACCACTGTCATCTAATCAGCCAAACCCATAAATAATGTACCCAGGATCAATTTGCTCTTCTGAGGTTACTACAACACACGTGAAAACCTGCTGTGCACACTTGCTGGGCAAACAGAAAGGACGTCCACTTTGTATAGTGCCAAACTTGGGTATTAAAATAAAATCCACATAACAATCCATGAACAGTGGTACAGTCAAAGCGTGTGTTTTGCTGTGAAAATCTGCTCCTACTGAGCTATGCTACAGCTAGCAGTCTATGTTTGTGTGTGAATAAGAAGCAATGCTCCGGCCTGCTCTTGTTCACTGGCAGCTGCCTTCTCCTCATAGTTGGGTGTCATCAGTGCTGCAGGCATGGGAGCTCCCCTAGGGAAAAGGAGAGACAAGTGTTTCCCTCCTGCTGCAGGAAATGGGCGAAACCTTGTCTGAAATTATGACTCCAGCATTCTGCTGATCAGGAAGCCACTCCTGATAGCACAGGCTATAGGTTTCCTGTTGTGGGTCAACAGTTTTGGCTTCACCAAGGGCTCTCGGGAAGGCTGAAAAATGCTGGGTCAAGAACTGCTGAGCTCCTGTCAGGTTTGTATCATGCCACAGAAATACTAAAGCATTGAACATCAAAGTTGTAATTAAATGCTTGACACAGTTATATAGTTACTTTTAGGGTGCTGGGATATATTTGTCAGCTGCAGTCCATACTTGCACCCTATTATAAGTCATGTGAAGATTCACTTTTATTTTATGCAAATTATTTTGTGACAGAAAGAGAGAATCTTCTTATTACACAATAGTACCTTTTAGTAAACTGAGTGTTAGTCACAAAGTGGTGTCACTGCATGATCAGTAAACGTGGGTTGATGTTTTCTCTGTATTACTTATATTTATTTCATGTTAATGCTTATTTGATATATACAGTCATCGCCAAAAATATTGTAACCCCTGCATTTCTGTCAGATAACACACCATTTCTCCAAGGAAATTGTTGCAATCCCAAAGTTTTTGCTATTCTCATGTTTATTTCTTTTGTTTGCATTGGAACAACACAAAAAGCAGAAAAAAGCCAAATCTGATTCATTCCACACAAAAATCCAAAAATGGACTGGACAGAATTATTCATACCGTCAACTTAATATTTGGCAGCCCACCCTCTGGACAAAATAACTGAAATCAGTTGCTTCTTGTAACCATCAGTGAGTTTCTTCCACATCTCTACTGGAGTTTTGAATCACTCTTCTTCTGCCACCTGCTTTAGGTCTCAGATTTGAAGGCTTCCTTCTCCCAGCTGCTGTCCTGAGTGCCAGTATTTTTGGCCATGACTGTAGGGCAGTGCCCCCTTTTCTCTGTACTCTTCAGATACAGCAGATGTCTTTGAACTCATGCCATACATTACTCTATTTGATTTGATTGTCATAATTCTGTGTGAAATGTATTATATGTGCTCCCTTCAAAAATTCCACAATGGAACAAAAAAGTCATGTTCACGGCATGGACATAAATTTATGCCAACAATCCCATTGATGCAAAAATGACATTTCACCTGTGATTGTGCAAAATGCCAATGATTCAGTTTACTGCTCTCTCTGGATATAACTAATGTGGGTCTGTTAAATGGGAATAATGAATAAGTGGACAGTTGAGTGAGGGCAAATGCAACTCTAGATCGGTGACTTTCTCGGGTTGTCAGAAGTTCCGAAAACTTAAATATCAAATACAGCATGAATATTCAGACACTGTTTCTATATAAATGTATGTTCTTGGCACTTTCATTCTCATCGTCTTTTGGAAACTTCTTTAAACTGGGTAATTATTTCTGATCAGTTCATTCATTTTAAGCTGACATTCAATTCATGACTTTAGCCTAATTAGATTATTAGTGTGAGGCTGCATGCAAATACTTGCTTCCTAACCACAGCCGGATGTCAGTCTTGGCAAACACTCTCCAGACCTTCACTGTGTTATAAAAGGATTCAGCAAAGATCCATCTTCAAATGCTGTATCAAGGACATCCTTACATAATACATTTCATTAAATGAGGATTGTGGCTCTGTGAGATTGCGACAGCCCAGATCTTATGACAGCTTTACTCCCAAAGTATAAGTGGCCATGGGTTGATGTGGGTTGAACTGGAGAGGGCGGGGCATGAAAAGACAGGATGAGCTCCATGTCTGGGCAACACTAATGCTGCATTCACTTCATGTGGAATGAGAGGAAGAGACAGTAAAGGCTACAATTTCATGTCACAAGACAAGATGATTGAGTGAGGGTTAAACGTACTGCGCACTCACAATATAACACTATATTCTTAGAATTTGGTTTAAATGAATGTCAAACCTGATGATGTGAGGTGTTCATGTTCATTAAATAAATTTTTCCAGTAGTAGTAGAAACTTGGATGTTGATAAGAATGATATTTACCCGTCCAGCTTGTAGTTACAGTGTGTATGTGTGACATTAACAGTCAGCATTCTCACAATGCTGTGACAATGGGTAGATCTTATAGAAAGGTATCTAGATGTCTAACTGACTAACTTCCCTCAAAACCTGACAAAAGACCTTTTTCATGGTAGACAGTTTTACATGTCATAGCAGGAAAACACTTTGAGAAAGATGAGAATAGGTGCATCCCACACCACTTACACAATTATTCCTCACTTGAAGACATCCTACACCCTTTTAACTGCTTTGAGGATAAGGAGGCTAACTGGATGAGACATGAATGAGAATACAAGGCAGCAACCTTCAAATAAATCTTTTATGGACTGACATGCCCCTTTATCAGTAAAGTGACTGGAGGCTGCACATGAAGAATCGGACAGAACGTCTCATGTCTCTAGGACCATGTTTCCTCAGTTCCTCTTTCTTTACATTTTCCCTTGAATTTTATGTGGGCAGGACTATGACGCAAGGAAAAGACACAAATGAGGGAACTATGGATGCATATAAGAAACTTTGGATGTATGTACCCAATATCAAAATTCTGTCTGTTTGTTAAAATATACCACTGCAGTGGATGTGCTTAGCCCAGTTCAGCCTAAAGACTGGAAGACAGGGAAAACAGCTAGCCTAGCTCTGTCCAAAGTTCGAAGGTGCCTACTAACATATCTGCAGCTCTCTAATTAACAAAGTACATCTTGTTTTTTGAATCAGTACACAAGGTAAGCAAACAGAAATGTACATATGACATTTTGTGGTTTTGTGGGCAGCTGGAAATATTTCTCTGGGCAGCAGCTGCGTGCAATGACAGTTCATATTTGGGAAGCTGAAACCAACAAATGGTGAGCATTTGGCATGACTGACAGCTATTAATCAGTTATCAGAATGACTTATTGACTAATTTACCACTTGTTTCAGTAGTAGAGAGTACCACTGTACAAGATGCCAGTGATGGAAAACTAACTATAATGTAGTATAGTTCTGTTCTTCAGTACACTTTCAATGTGTTTATGAATTACATGGATATTTCCATTTTATAATAAATTATACTTGTACTCATCAAGCAGAAAATACTGTATTTTTTACTTCATTACCTTTCCTGACAACTATAGTTATTTAATTGATAAAGATTTTACAGACAAAATATTTTTAAAGATGCAACTACCTAGCAAAATCCCAAGTGTTCCCTGAGATTACCATTACTGTCATAAGGAGTCATTATCAATACTGACGGTAGCGGAAGAAATACTCAGATTATTCACTTAAGTAAAAGTAGCAATACCAGTGTAGAAACTGTCACAAGAAAAAGACCTGCATTTAAAATGTTATTTAAATCAAAGTGCAAAGGTACTAGTCTCAAAAACACATGAAGCGCCAAAAGTAAAAGTACACATTGTGTAGAATACAATATACATATTTCAGTAATATATAATATATAAATGGATTATAATTATTGATTCATTATTGTGTTTAGCACTTTAATGTTGGTTATATGCAAACAATTTGAATGTATTTTCATACTGCTGGGTAGCTTCTAAATTTTGCTCCAGTGACCAATAAAGTCTTATGATTATAGTGTATTTTGTTTCATTATTATTATTCTGAAAAGCAACCATTAACTAAAGATATCAAATAAATATAGCAGAATAAAAAGTACATTTACCTCAGAAATGTTAAGTTAAAGTATGAAACAACAAAAAATAGAAATACTCAGGTAAAGTACAAATACCTCACAATTGTACTGTTTCCACCACTAAATCCTTATATAATGCAATTAACAAAGTGGCTGATTTACAGTAATAAAACCTATATCCTTATTATATCTCATTCTACCCACATTACCCCAGCATAATCCAAAGAAGTACATTAGCCTTCCAGTGGTGTCTAACAAGGTATGTAATTTTGGCAGGTTTTAGAATATCGGTTTATGAGATTTCTGTCTTAGCACCAAAACAATGGAGGTGGTGAATCAACAGCCATTAACTGTTTTCATTAGAACAATTATTTTTTTAATAGAAAACTTTTGTTTTGTGGGTGAATAAATCCTTATGATCAGTTTGGGTTTTCAAAGAACATTATCCCAACAGCAGCATACCAAAAACAACATTTTTAATACTTGAAATAAATACTCCATTACATGCATGATCAAAACATTTTAAAATACTATATGAAGTCTGGTAGATAGTGTAAAACCTATGGCACACACTCACAGCAGCTTTTTACCTATTAAGAATTCACACTTGTAGAAAAAAAGAAAATAAAAACAAGCACAGACCACTCTCACAAAGCACATGTAATCAAGGAATTCGGCCAACCATAGGTTCACATGTTGAGGCTACATCCATCATGAAGGCTGGTGTTTTCACCGGTGCTGAAAACTGAGGTAAACTTTTCAGGTTTGAAGGCTGTCTGTTAGTGAGAGCTGGTAGTCAGCTGAGCCTGGCTCGAGCTCAGAGCACTCAAATGGTCCATATCTGACAAGGTACAAGTCACATCCAGCGTGACACAAAACCCTGCAGCAGTTGTTTTAGTGCTCCTCTGCATCCTAACACACTTCAAACACAGGGGCATGCCCACAGACAGCCTTCTTCTGATGTTACTCTGACCTTATGAACAGGGATAACCCAAGTGAGTCTCTTTGGTATATCAGAAGAGGACAGAGGGGACTGGAAATCATGTTGCCTCTTCCTAAACTAATTCACAGAATGAGAGTTGACTGGGGGTAGAGTCCTCGGAGAGGAGCGTTCTCTGAGTGCCTGAGTGAGCAGAGTGCAGCCGTCTGACACAGCACAAGCCGAGTTACGCAGACGCTCCCGGTAGTCTGCCATTTTGGAGCTGCTCTCGGGATGCTGGGCAACATCTCTGAGGCCCTGAGTGAGGAGGACACAGGCTGAAACCACACTCATGGCCCCCCCTAAAACTGCAGTCTGTACCCCTTTCCCTTCGGTGGAGATACTTGCCGCTCTGCCCAGAAATTGAGGCTCTGTGGCGAATCCAACAAGGGCGCTGACAGCCTGGACCAGAGCAGCACTGAAGAGGACACAACGGTTCCTAGTCAGCTCACTGGGCTGGGTTTTCACCTCTTTAACACAGGCCAGGAAGGCCGTGCCGCTTGTGCTCATGCTCTTGACACTCAGTTTGAACTGCTCTTTTGCAAAGCGGTCCCTGGACCTCTCGCTGGCTAGCGATGAGATGTCTGTCAGAGTCTTGAGGTTAGTTGAGATGTTCTGAGAGAGCTCCAGGAGAAGCTGGGGGGTGAGGTCTGGCAGGGGTGTGACACGAAGGACACTGCAGCTTTGCTCCACCTCGTGTCGGCAGCGGGTCACCTTGTATCGGTCCACCAGACCAGGCAGGCAAGGCTGAGAACCAGGGGTCTCCATGGCCGCCAGGTAAGCAGCGTGAGTTGAGCACTCCGTCAAAGACACCACAAGGTCACCCATCTCCAAGAGGCGGTCCCCCACCTCTGTGAAGCGGCCCATGTTGAGCTGGCTCTGGATGTCATGGGTGAGAATGGAGAGTTCTTTAGTCCTGGCGATAACTGTGTCGCGGCACTGGTCAAAGGTCTCGGCCACTGCCACACATTCAGAGGTCATGACCGGCCTTGTCTCACTGGATAGCAGGAGGAGATCAGCCACCAGCTGCATCTTGCCCTTACATGTGTCACAGATGGAGGAGAGACGCTTCCTCTGTTGCAAACTGCCACTGGGTGTGCTCGTTGATCCCTCGCTAGCTGATTTGCCAGAACCACCACTAGCCATAATAAGGAGGGGAGTCTGTAAAGGGGGTGTGGGGCGAGGGGGTCAAACTGCCCTTTGGGGTTTCAGTTATTTATAGTTGACTGCTGCTGCACACTGCATTGTATTGTTTAAGACATTTCCAAGATAAGCTTCAGCTCATTACTTTTTACAAACTCCTTTAAATAACAACTGGCCAAACAGTCTTCCTTAAATTCCTTCAGATAACAGGTAATCAACTGTATATTATATGCTGACACACAGGACAAGTATTCTGAATGTAAACATGTGGAGAAGCAAAACTTAGTTACTGCATTCACTCATGTTTGAATAACATCTCCATCACTAATATTGCAATAAAAGCCTAGCCTCTGATCTGGCATATTCCCAGATTGTTCTGCCTCGGTTATTAGCAATTTTATTATATGATCAAAATCCCCACAACTTCTGCGTAATCAGTGTAATAAGCTATATACTCTTATATTGACAAATTAATTTAAATGCCCTGAAAAACATAATCCAAAAGTCAACCTACTGTAGTCCCAGGTTTTTGGGGACTACAGTAGGTTTTTAAATTAAAAGTTAAATCACACACAAACTGCAGTGCCACCAAAATGCCTTCTAAAGACAAAGTGCAGATTATGAAAATAATGTCAAATGCTAAGTGTCTTTTGAAACAAGAACACATTCCCAATTGTAATTACATCTGCTGAACTGCCTCTGTGCTATTTTTGAATTGTTTAATAGCTTTCCTTGGTGTCTCTTTATGGCTGCAGCCAAGAAAACATTGCCTGAACATTTAGCAAATGCTTTTTGAGTCGTTTTCACTATAATTAGTAGGCTAATGTTATCATTTTGTGTCCACTCGCATCTGAGCCAGTAGCCTGATAAAACACAGAGATCCTGTCCGACTTGTTCCCAAAGACTTTGACCGGCCTGACGTACTCATGCTGGGTGCGAACGGGGCACCACCCGGGCAGCTCTTCTGAACAGCGGGAAGACTTGTGTTCCCCCTCCAGCACCATCGCTTCATGAGTCCGCACGAGTAAGATCCACCGAAAGGGCGACTGTTTAAAAGCACAACCCCCTCAATCCACTTTCAACCTCTTCTTTTTCAAGCAGAGCCCTGGGTTAGAAGCTAGCAGTTGCTCCGGTCGCTTCGACTCCATATGCATCGTCTGTCTATCCGCCCGCCACCTCCTCCTCCGCGTCTTAACTCGGAACCAGAGAGTATATAGCCCCGCATATCCTCTGCCGGCAGTCCCTTCTCACATCCATACTAGTCTGTGGTCTCTGGACATTTAATTCACTTCTTTTGGCAGGTTCCACGGCCACGACACCAAAAACGTATCTGGAAGAAGTGGCCGTTATTCCCAGAGATTCAAAGTCTAGCTGCGCGCTCCCGCTGCAGTATGAGGAAGCAGGGAGGGTGTGGTCGCGGCTGAACGGCTGCTGGGCTGAGCAAAGTTGTAGCAACAAAACAACACCAGTAGCCTTTCGCTTCAACTTAACTTTCCGCCATGTGCGTGAACTGGTCCTAGTGTTACATTAACGGGTCGCCCGAGAAGATGCTAGTTACACGGTAGCTAAAGAGCTCCGAGGAGTTTCATGATTGCTTTTACTTTAGGACTTGCAGTTGAGACATCCCTGCTGCGTCAAGTTACCCACACTGGGCAACTACAATGACACCGGAAGCGTGTGTATTCAAAGTAAAAGCGGAATCTTTGTTTTATTGCTGTGAATTTCGAGTCTTTTTGTGAGCCAGATTATTTGGCTCAGCTCAGTAACAAGCGCCAGGTATTTTGTCCCCCAAACAGGTCTTCATTTAGCACCACCTCTTGCTTTTATAATTTAGCCAAATTTAGCAATGTTTTTACCAATGTGTGCACCTATATTACTTAATTATTAAATATAATTATACTGAATCTGATCATTTCCAGAATACTATTAATTTACTTTATGTTTGGTATTAAAACAATGTAAAACAACACGTGTATTGAACATTGTTCAGTGTTCAGGGGTGGATCTAGAATAATTTGGATGGGGTGACCAAGCTGGGTCACAGACTCAGAGAGGACTGGCACATTTGAAATACATGCAAAAACTAAATAAAACCCTAGTTCTATCTAATGATGAATTATCAAAAATCAAACTAATTAAAAAAATGAGATGCACATAGTGCTTTTGGCTGTGTACCTTATTTACTCCCATCTGTGGACATCACTGAGTCATTTCCCGCCAGGAGTCTGGCTCTTATCACCCAGGTTTGGCACCTGCTGCAGTTGCGCGGTGATAATCATGTCTTATTTGTGTGCCCCTTGCTCTTCAGATGCTGCTACACTTGACAGTGTGTTTTATTCAATTTCAGATGTGTTTTCATGATGTGGTTAAGTGTTTTTTTTCCTGCAATGCAACCTTCTCAGGGCACACTTGTTATTTCTCTGCCAATGTTCACAATCTGTGCTGGCTGTAAATGTGTCATGGCTGCCTGTCAGGTAGTGGAAGTTGTTATGCGGTTGTGCTGTGTTTACAGTAGACATGAATCAGGGCAGAGTATCAGCTTCTAACTATATCTATTGTCTGTAGTGGAGGTTGCTATACAGTTGTGCTATGTTTCTTATGCTCAGTAGCTCAAGAGAACGGGACTCAAAGTGCACCACACAAATTCAGGAGATTAGTTAGTTTTATTTAAGGTATAGGGATACGAAATAAGCAGACTCAACAGGTTCGTTCGGACTGTGTAGGCTGAACAGCTGGAAGAGTACTGGGAGATGGTCAGTTAATGGGCTATGTACAGCAGGCAGCACCAATACCCTGGGTAGGGGCAGGAGAGAAGGTGGAGGTTACTGCTGTGGAAGACTGGTGACACTGTGGAAGGAGTGGGGCTGGTGATGACAGGACTCACAGAGGACGCTTGCCACAAATGTGGCAGCGCCTTTGGGCAGGCAGGGGCCTGGAGGTGACAGGAGGCAGATGAGGCAGACCTCATGGGAGAAGTAGAGAGCTGGAGATGGCTGGATTCACTGAGGAATGAGCTGCTGATGTGGCTTTTTTCTCAGAGGGATGAGGCCCAAGCTGTTAACATGGCATGTCTTTCAGAGCAGGCAGAGGATGAGACACGAGCTGCTGATGTGGATGATCTTTCAAAGCAGGCAGTGAACTGGAGATGGCAGGAAGGATGCTCACCAGGTACGAGGCAGGTAACAGGCAATCTAATCAGTAAGAGCACAGACGAAGCACAGGACCTGGAAAACATGCAACTAGCAGGTAAGTGATACGTAAGAGTTCGAGTAGGAGCCAGAGAAGACTTCTGGTAGCGCAGAAACAACGAATCGGTGACAAGGTACGCCAGTGCCTGGCTTAAGTAGTACCAGGCAGACTTTTTTCTTTTGTAGGTCTCTTTGTAAGCATTGGAGCAGCAGATAGTTCAAAGTCCATTTTAGATGAAGTGTGATAGTTTGGACATTGTCAGGCTTCTAGGTTAGTTGAGACTGTCAGTGATTCGTCAGATGTAGTGATAAGGTCACAGAAAGCATTTTCCAACAGCTTAAATGTGCTAGTTAAACACATGTGAGATACAATTTTAAGCATAATTAAGCATACTGGGGGGTACCTTAGCTGAGGATTGTGGCACAAAGTCTAGTTGATTAGGCAAAGTGTAACTTATGTTTCAGCTGACTGCAGTGTGTCACACCTGGTTGCCAGACTTTGTGTGCAAGCTACATTATCACAAAAGTCAATGTAATGTTATTTCACTCAGTATAACACAAAATGCTATTTTTCTGGATTATGAATGTGTAAAATCATTGTTTTGTTGGCTTTGTTCTTGAGTCTCACTCTTGTCTTATAGAGTTTGCTTTGACTCTGCATTTGTTTGCACTAAAATTTGGCAGTAACTTTGCACTGCATATTGCTTTATCATTTTACCACTTAAGTATTCCAGAAATATTGTAAGTAACCAAAATTGTTTATGGTATGGTGTTTAAGATTGGTGAAGTGTTTTATTTTTGTCTAAAATGTTTAATATATAATCTATATTATATGCAGTATATAATATATAATCTATATTATATACTGTATGTTTTTGTGATCTGTTGGTTATGCAAAAGTTTTGCTACTAACTACTGTTTCCATATTGT